CAAAGAGTGGAAACCCTGGAGATCGAGAAATAGCTATAGTGTCAGCAGAGGTAAGTATTATTGGAAATACATTTTCAGTTTAGGAAAATGTTAACTTTTGAAATAAAACATGTCTCACAAGATATTGTATGTACTTGTGCAGGAAGTAACTTACAGAAGAGTACAACATATATATAGCACTTTATGTTTAATACCTTTCTACAGGCTCTAAATTACTTTTGCTCAACCGCGTAAAATACATTGCAGGCACAATTAAAGCAAATACATTTAAATTGTTACTTTCAAGATGATACCTCACCTTTTCACACAGAAAAGCTTGATCTCTCACATATCTGTTTTTGAGATTTTTATACTGCTAGCCTTGAGCTAATTTTTACCTAAAAATCATGTGTTTAACATGAACTGCTCTAGTACATGATGAAATCATCATGCCACAATAGCTCTCCATCAATACTAGGGTGACAAACTCTTTGCACAGCAAGTTCCCCTGAGCACTTGCACTCAAAGTAACTTCAATGTTTTCCTCAGCATTGTCTAGAACAGATATGTTTTTAAAATCATCAATTAATTATGTGAGATTTGCAATGGATTAAGAAACTTAAATTTCATTTAAGTTTTACTGATTCGTTTTATTACTAACGAAAAGAGTAAAAAAAGAATTTCCTGTTTGCCTATTATAAATTCTCAAGTGATGGTAATTTCTGTTTCATCCCGTGATAGTGACAATGTTCTTAACACTGGACCTGTGTTTATTGTGATTAATGGGGCTCTTTGTCTGTGGAGGACATGACAGCTATTGTTCAATATAATGTGGGTTCCGTCATGCACACCTGGTCTCCGTCTTCCACCCATTCAACTGACATTTCTTCTCCCCAGTTTGAACATGATCAGGATGATGATGATTTGATTGGCTATTTCCCCCATGGGGGTTTTCTCTAGACACAGCTTTATTTGTGGAGGAAAATCCTCAACCTTCTAATCTCTTCCTTGACATGATTCTGCAGGTATGTTCTTTTCTTTTGTTTTCCTTTTGTCTTATGATCCCCCCCCCCTTCTCCATGCTTTACTACATGAAACACATACTCAAGACTTTGTCTTTTCTCTTTCACCTGACATTAGGGTCCATGCACACTCAATTTTCAAACAACTACACACCTGTACTACCATGCCTCATCCTCACTTGACTCTTTTTTTTTTTTTTCCTGGATTACATCTGTTTTTAATTTTCATTCTAAGTCTTTGGAATTTGGAATCTTACTGTCAGATTTTATTTCTCCTGGTCTCTCCACTTTGTTATAATCCTTCTTTCTTCACTGACACCCTCTCATCCTACTCCTATGCCTGACTGAGACTTTGACATGGTTTTACATGCTATGTTCAAGCCAGTAGCTTTGTATTCATTATAACCTTTTTCTCCAAAGGTTTGTTTTCTTCTCTTTTCTTCAGTAAAACCACATACCATCTTCATGCATACTTTTATCACCCTTTCAACTTCCACAGGATCCTGCCATGTGGCTGATTTGTCTCTCAGGGTATGCTTATTTCTCAAAATCTGCATTGGGTAAGGGATATTGGAAAGTGCTCATTCCACCCGCCCTGACATTATCTGTTGAGATGGGTCTTCTGTAAGGTTACTAGAGGTACCCTTGTGGAATTGAAATTACTCAATTGCCCAATCCAGACCATACCATTCCATGATTATGGAAAAAGCCAACATGCCAACACCAGGTAATTAACTGCCCACTTCATTGGCTCACACTTGCCAGCTTTTAAAACTAGTGTTTCATGCTCACCCATTGCACTGTCTCCAGTAAAGGACCTTTTTAGCAAGCATTTGATGGAAATCAGGCACTTCTGTGGATGTTCCCAACACAACCCCCCCCCCCCCTTCCTTTTAGTGGAGTAGGTGAGACCCTTATCACTTACTAGTTCCTAGCTGCTGAAGTGGTGGCCTTTGGATAGTTCCTCACTGATTGCATAAAGCACAATATAGTGGGTAGTAGGGGAGTGG